ACACAAAGTTTATAAAAAGAAAATCATATAAGAAAATAGGAGAATTTTGAATGTATCTTCCAACATAAATCTTGAAGTTAGTTGTTAACAACAGTCATGCTTAAAGTATTTTCTAGATAGGTTTCCCTACTATTCTAAATGAGATCTCATTCCTTTCTGTATGGTTTTCTGAGAAGGTCTGTAGGATTTTCGAAGTTAGCTATATGAATTGTACTCTTCTATTCAGTTAGTTCAGGTGAAAGACTTAAGTTTTCTATAAAAATTTATTATGAAAAGAGGTTGATTGAAGATACAAAAACATTAATGGATTGAATTGTTATTTGGATAAAACTGGATCAACTTTAAACATAGTTTTATTAGTTTAAATTTAGACCCTTATTTGAATTAGGATTGAAACACCCTCTATTTGGATCAAAACTAACCTGGTTAAGATCTTAAGTAGGTTAGTGAAGAGTAATCAAACACACACACTTGATTACCTTATCCCTTAAATTGTGGACTAGAGATTCAGGAGAACTTGTCGGAAAAACTTTATTGCCTAGATAACGAAACTGTTGGCCTTACTTTAATCACCAAGAGTAGGGGTGGAAAAAAAAATACTCATATATGAGGATTTATCAGTATCCATATCCGAACACAACACCTCTTGATGGATAAATTACCTCCATGTACGTACTAAATGTTTCCCTCCAAAAACCAAACAAAAACTAGAGCAAGAATCCTCCCTCTACACCAACTACGACTCCCTAATCTCCACCCTCCCGCGCTCTTTCGCCAGCCTCGGCCTCAAGATCCTCCATGGAACCCTCGCTGCCCACGACCACTTCCACCCTCTCCCCAGCGACATCCTCCTCTCCTCCCTCCCCAAAGTTGGCATCACCTGGTTCAAAGCCCTCGCCTTCGCCGCCCTCCATCGCTCCGATGAAAATCTCTCCTCCCTCCTCCTCTCCCTCAACCCTCACCAATGCATCCCTACCCTTGAATACCAGATCTATGCCAAACTGACCTCGACATCCTCCCCTCACCTCACCTGCTCGCCACCCACACCCCCTACTCGCTACTGTCGAAACCCAATGGACACGTTCATATCAATGTGGAAGTTCATCAACAGCGTGGTCCCAGATGCGCATGAGATGACAAGACTGGAGGGCTTCCTGGAGGTGTTCCTGGCCGGAGGTTACACGTCAGGCCCGTTCTGGGACAATGTGACAGAGTATTGGAAGCAAGCGGGGAGTAGCCGGAGAGGGTAATGTTTATGAAGTATGAGGATCTCTGAAGAGGTCGCCTGAGGCTTAGGTGAAGAGGCTGGTGGAGTTTGGGGATTGGAGGAACTATTTGACTCCGGAGATGGCGGAGAGGCTCAGGACGGTGACAGAGCAGAGATTTGGCGCCATTGGATTTGTCAATTGAATACTGTCCTCAATATAATGATGTGTTTAAGATGGATTGATGATAATGTTAACATTGTGCCTGAAATTTCATAGGCAATGTCAAAATGATCAGAACATCCTTTCTATCAAAATTTGGGTGTGTTTTATAGAAGTATTTGAATCTGACAAATTCCATTGTTTTCGTGCTAATTCCAACAGTGTGAAAGATAACATGGAGCTACAAAGAAATCAACAAGCTTCTGAAAATCACAAGGGGGGACAAAATCCCATACAGGTTCCTCTATAGAATAAATCTTTTCTTTTGAGAGAGAGAATAAGTAAACTTCATGCTTTTGAGATCCCATTTCTCTCAGCACCACAATCCCACAGTCCATTTCCTACGTCCTCCGGCCACTGTTGAATTGATTAGTCACACTTTTGCCCATAAACTTACCGGCTCTACTAATCCCACTACCAACTGCACCCAGCCCACTCCCAACCAAACCAGCACCAGTCCCGACACCAGACCCAACCGCACCCAGTCCACTCCCAACGAGCCCAACACCAGCACTGACACCGGTCCCAACGAGCCCGACACCAGCACCGACACCAGTGCCAACTAGCCCGACTCCTGACCCTACCATCGACGCTGCCCCACCCACAGCGTCGACTGCAGTCCCTACCACACCGGTCTCCCTCATTCTCTTTTTCTCCTCCAGAGATCTCTTCTCTGCTTCGAGTGCTGCGATTTGTTCTTCTTTGGTGAATATGTGGTACACAACCTGAAAGAATGGGCGGTATTGTTTAGATTGTTCAGAATATTGTCGTAAACTTACTATCCCTGTAGTTCCATTTTGGCAGATATACTCCCTCGGTGAAATTTTGGTAGATATTCCGCCTTTGTGAAATTAGTGAGTCTGAGAGTGTTAAGGGTAAAAAAAATATTTTATGCAGAGGGTCTATATGCCAAAATGAGATTGAAGGCGTTGTAAATTCAAAATAGTGATACTACAGGAAGTCAATGTGCAATTAACCCTATTTTTTTATTATTATGACGGATGCAAATTAATGCAGCATGGACATAATCAAAATAGGATAAGACTCAAGGCACCACAATTTCACCAAATGACAAGAATGAAAGACTTTATCCCAAAATTTTGGGATCAGCTACATGAATCCTACTCTTCCACTCGGTTTTGTTAGGACAATCACCTGCCACAGGAAATTAGTATAAAGGAGGATGATTGAAGAAACAAGTTGGGAGCGATAGGTGGAAGAATGAACAATTCATCAATGTCAATTCATCAATGTTCTTATTCATGTGGGCAAACAAACAATTCATATATAAAGGGTGTTGCTAGCCTCAGTCTTATACTAGCACACTAGCATGGACAAATTAAATTCAATAGCTGTCATCCAAAAACGGCTGCCATCTCTTCTAATATACGTCGTAAAAAATTTATGGATGAAGTTTACATTTTGCTAAAGACTATGAATATCAAGTAAACGTGCCAAAAAAACAATTTCAAGAATATATTTAACCCTTAATATTGATACCCAACTGAAGTGGCATTGGATAGGTATCTACATCTTAGCTACATCTTAGCTATGCCAACATCATGAATCATGAGATCCTTTAAGAAAGTAAACGTGATAGTAAGAAAGAAAGAAATACAAACCTTAACAGTGAGAATCCCTCTGTCCTTTTTATCTTTGGTCTTCAGCATATCCAATGACGGCAACAATCTGAGGTCATACTCTTTTGCTTTTTCAGGTTCGAGGTCTATCAATGGCAACTTGGCTACACCCAATCTTTTGTCTTGGGCAAGGTTGTCTTCATCAAAAACCTGTCCGAAAATTTCCAAGTTGAATGGTTATGTAACCTAAGTAAAAAGGCCAGAATGTTAAATTGTTAATTATGGACACAAATAAAAATATCACTTTCCACATTAAGTTATATGCTGCTTATGCATGTATTAATTCTTTGAGCCTTATCACTCACAATCAATCAATAGAGAAATAATCAATAGCTATAGCTATATGGACGTCTTGAATTAATTCATCCAAAACTAAATAAAATGTGAAATAAAAATATGATAAACTGCATAGAACTGTTAATCCAACATAAATGTGTACTATGATGAGAAGACACAAAACCAGAAGTGAATTGCGACTGAAAGAAGATCATAACCTCAAGGATAAGAGCTTGGGTCTCGGTGTCTTCAGCAATCAACTCAAATGTCTCGTTCCATACTGGATTGAGATTATTGTCGATCACTTTTGTTTTAACCTTCCAAATGGGACGTATGTGCAGAACCACATAAGGATCGGATTTACCAATCATTTCCTTATTTTTCAAAGCACTAGCCTTCACTACAGTTACTGTAAGCTTTCCTTGAGGTTTAAGCTCAAGTTCACTGCAAAAACAAAAAGAATATCAATGTTACTATAAGTCTATAACTATAAATCAAGCCGGTCTGTTCTGTAGTCAGATTCACCAAAGGGTATCATATTTATTCTTTAAGAGCCAAAATGACAAATAATCTCCATGTATTCATTATCAAAAGAAGAATGCTTCTGTATATAATGATGTGAACTAACGAACGACCCAAAAGTTAATGAAACCCAAAGATCATACATAAGAACTACAGTCAGTTACTAGCCCTTAATGAAGCATTTATATAACATTCAGGAGAATGCTAGCATTCTAATGTATATATTAGGGAGAAGAAGGAGCTCCAACAAAATGTTCAAATAATACATTAACAATACAAGTATCTAGAGTTTGACTGTGAATGAACTCATAGATGAATAGGCCGAGTACTGGATGCATCAAACACTTCTATTCTGCATTTTTGTGGACTACATTGGATGGCTGTAGCAGACTATACACAGAAAATTTAAAACAAATATTGATCTAAACAATTGCAGTTGCTTACTGAAATTCATAGATATGAAGTGAGAAGGTGGAAAACATGGCCCAATTGCATGGAGTTATATAGTACAAGGTAGAAAATATGGCCAAATTGCATTGAGTTATATAGTACATCACAGCAAAAACTTTCACTACTGGCTGCTACACATCAGTTTTTATGCAACATCGTGCATATAAAAGAAAACAGTTCACTAGAATTTCATGGTTTTCTAAGCTCAAGCATTTGCTATGCTCAATCATTTGTCTTAAGCATCAAAGGGAAAAAAACACTTAAAATAAGAATTGTTAGCATAAATGCACTGGTGCAAGCTAACCTTAAAATATGTTAACATTCCTAAACGTCATTGTTTCATAATTTGATGATTAAAAAAGTATAAAAAGTGAAAGGAAAAAAAAAAAACAAATGATATGCTTACCTCGTGTCCACATCTACACCACCAAGGGGAACAACAATTCTATGAGGCCATTGGAGCTGGTCTGAGACAATTGAATTCACGGTATCCTATAAAATAAAGAATATCACATTGATTTTTATATTAGAGCTGGTCTGAGACAATTGAATTCACGGTATCCTATAAAATAAAGAATATCACATTGATTTTTATATTATTAATTGATGGAATTGCATTCAAAAAAGGTATCCTATAAAATAAAGAATATCACATTGATTTTTATATTATTAATTGATGGAATTGCATTCAAAAAATATATATATAGAATACAAGCTTATGAAGATACTTTATAAAAAATTAAACTTACTTCTATCATGTCTGAAAGACCAGGAATAGCAGATAGGCTTCCTCCGACAGCTTTTAAAGTGTAATCTATTCTAGGCTTTGGCTGAGAAAGAACAAGCGTAGCTATATCATACTAATTAACCACGTAAATTGCCAAACCACTTCGAACATCAAAACAATACAGAAGTAAAATCTGGAGCACGCTGCTAAATGATGAAACTAATAATATAAATTGCCAAGGACGACGGTCATATTACTCATATCAAATGTGTATCCAGACAGGTTAAATCATTATCGATGACCAAAACCATTCACATAACATGAATTATCACAATGAAGACATACAAGTCTATTCTTGAAGCATATGTTAAAGTATAGATAATAATTAGCGTTTTCCTAAGAAATCAAACATTCTCCAACTAAGAATAAGATGACAATGAAAACATGTACATGTTTTGTACATGGAAAACAGAGACCAAGGAACGAGAGTGTTGGGGCGGAGTCACGCCCGTCGCCGCGGAAGCGATATCATCTGAGAGAGAGCCCTGGCTTTCGTTGCCACAAAAGCACAAGTCAACCTCTAAATTCTTGTTTCTCAAAGGAAACGAGAATAGATAATGAAATTCTTATTTCTCAAAGGAAACAAGAATCGAAAGTGATATATTTCATCAAAGTGAAATATACACTCTTCCTCTCATCAGTTCAAGGACTGAAATCTCGAGGGAACCTACAAGCTATGGCAACTCACAGATAAGACAAATACAAACACGAGATTTTTACGTGGTTCGGCAAACTAGCCTACGTCCACGGGAGGGGGTTTCACTATGGAAGAAAAATACCAAACTTATACAAGTTCTCTCTTCCTCTCTTTCTTTTCTCTCAAAAATACTCAACTTGAGATTTTTCCCACAATTTTCCCACACTTAAACACTTCACAACCACCTCCTATTTATAGGAGAAAACCCGAAGCAGTTTGGCGAGCTTTAGCGGCGGGAAAGGAAAAACTCGCGCGGGAAAGAAATTCGCGCGCGCAGGACGTCAAGCGGCGCACGAAAAACGAGCAAGCGGCGCGGGAGGACTTCCGCTCAAATCTCCGAAAATCCGGAGATGGGACATCACGAGCTCATGAGCTCGTCATGGACTGGAGAGGATAGGACACACCCACGTGGGTGTGTCCCCCAGTGTACACAATTCTCCACCTCGTACATCATTTGATAAACCTCAAATTTTGGACGACCACCAGAAGAACACCACGAGCTCCACCAGAGAGATACAGGCCAAACCAGGCCAACCAGCTGCGTCACTATACCGCGACTGCCTATGTACCCTGCACCGGGATCAAGCTAACCGTAGTTCTGTAATTATTCTCCAACATAGTCTCCACCTCACCTCCATCATCGCCCCAAAGGGCCATGCCCTCTCGGGCAAATCAACACGGGCTGATATGAAGCAAGTCCAAGCAATGCTGGAACTTGCTGCCTGTGACCACCTTGGTTAACATGTCCGCGGGATTCTCATTCGTATGCACCTTCATGAGAGAAATATCGCCTTCCTCTATGACATCCCGCACAAAATGATATCTGACGTCGATATGCTTGGTACGAGCATGATGAACTTGATTTTTCGCCAAATGAATCGCACTTTGACTGTTGCACCACAAGTTCACGCTTTCTTGCTCGATACCCAAATCGTCTAGAAAACCCCACAGCCACAATGCTTCCTTCACTCCCTCCGCCATAGCCATATACTCGGCATCTGTTGTAGAAAGTACCACTGTAGCCTGCAACATCGATCGCCAACTAACTGGAGCTCCATGTATCCTGAATACATAACCAGTAATAGATCGTCGTCTATCTAGATCGTCCGCATAATCAGAGTCCACATACCCGTCGACCTGACATGTATCTCCACCAAAACACAGACCCGTATCCGCGGTACCTTTCAAGTACCTTAGGACCCATTTCACTGCTTCCCAGTACGCCTTTCCCGGATTCGCCATGAATCTGCTGACCACACTAACCGCATGTGAAATATCAGGGCGTGTACACACCATTGCGTACATTAAGCTGTCAACTGCACTAGCATAAAGGACACAATCCATGTGTGCCTTATCTTCCGCTGTAGTGGGAGATTGTTTACCTGAAAGCCTAAAGTGTGGAGCCAATGGGGTCACCACCGACTTTGCACTTTGCATCCCGAACCTCGTGATCACCCGCTCTATGTAGCCCTTCTGACTCAAGAATAATCGTCGATTCGCCCGCTCTCTTCTAATCTCCATACCCAGTATTTTCTTTGCAGCGCTCATGTCCTTCATCTCGAACTCATTGCTAAGTTGAGATTTCAGCTTATCTATCTCCACCTTGTTTTTCGATGCAATAAGCATGTCATCCACATACAATAAGAGATAGATATAATCACCTCCACGAAGCTTCCGAATGTAAACACAACAATCGTAATCGCTTTGGGAAAATCCATGCTTTAGCATGAAGGAGTCAAATCGCTTGTACCACTGCCGAGAAGATTGTTTCAGTCCATAGAGTGACTTCCTCAAGCGACATACGTGATGCTCCTTATCCTCAACCTTGTAGCCCTCATTCAGTCCATAGAGTGACTTCCTCAAGCGACATACGTGATGCTCCTTATCCTCAACCTTGTAGCCCTCAGGTTGATGCATATAGATCTCTTCATCCAAGTCTCCGAGGTTGATGCATATAGATCTCTTCATCCAAGTCTCCGTGCAAGAAGGCCGTTTTGACGTCGAGTTGTTCGAGCTCAAGATCACCATGAGCAACAATACTCAATAGCACCCGAATAGATGTGTGTTTCACCACCGAAGAAAATATCTCATTGTAATCCACACCCTCTCTTTGTGCAAACCCTTTAGCCACTAGCCTCGCCTTGTACCTTGTACCACCGAGCTCTGAAGGATTTTCCTTTCTCTTATACACCCACTTACAACCAATAGTTTTTCTTCCTACGGGCAATAGGACCACCTCCCATGTTTGGTTCTTCCAGAGAGATTCCATCTCCTCCTCCATCGCAGCCAACCAACTCTCGCTATCCTTGTTCCGAATAGCTTCCTTGAAGGAGACCGGCTCATCTTCCTCCACCGAGAGTGCGTATTCCACCAAATTAACATGCCCATAGTGCTTCAGGGGTTGATCAGCCCCCAGCTTCTGTACCTGCTTGTATACTCGCCTTGGCCTAGTGGAAACCAAGCTATCCTCGAGCTCCTGTTGTTGTAGTGCCTGTGTA